GGTGCTGATGTAGTAGTTGGTGCTGGTGTAGGAGTTGTTGCTTCTGTAGTAGTTGGTGCTGGTGTAGCAGTGGATTCAGCTGTGGTTGTTAGTGCTGGTGTAGTAGTTGGTGCTGGTGTAGTAGTGGGTTCAGCTGTAGTGGTTGGTACTGGTGTAGTAGTTGGTGCTGGTGTAGTAGTTGGTGCTGGTGTAGTAGTTGGTGCCTGTGTAGTAGTGGGTTCAACTGTAGTAGTTGGTGCTGGTGTAGTAGTTAGTGCTGGTGTAGTAGTGGGTACAGCTGTAGTAGTTGGTGTTAGTGTAGTAGTTAATACTGCCGTAGTAGGTTGTGCTTGTGTAGCAGTGGGATCAGCTGTAGTAGTTGGTGCAGGTGTAGTTGTGGGTTCAGCTGTAGTAGTTGGTGCTGGTGTAGTAGTTATTGCTGATGTAGTAGTTAGTGCTGGTGTAGTAGTAGGTGCTGCTGTTGTAGTTGGTGCTGCTGTACTGGTTTGCACTGGTATAGTAGTTGGTGCTGTAGTAGTTAGTGCTGGTGTAGTAGTTGGTGCTGGTGTAGTAGTGGGTTCATCTGTAGTAGTTGGTGCTGGTGTAGTAGTTAGTGCTGGTGTAGTAGTTAGTGCTTGTGTAGTAGTTGGCTCTGCAATAGTAGTTGGTGCTGATGTACTAGTTAGTGCTGGTATAGGAGTGGGTTCAGCTGTAGTAGTTGGTGCTGGTGTAGTAGTTGGTGCTGCTGTAGTAGTAGGTGCTTCTGTAGTAGTTGGTGCTGGTGTAGTAGTTGGTGCTGCTGTAGTAGTAGGTGCTTCTGTTGTAGTTGGTGCTGGTGTAGTAGTTGGTGCTGATGTAGTAGTTGGTGCTTCTGTTGTAGTTGGTGCTGGTGTAGTAGTTGGTGCTGCTGTAGTAGTTGGTGCTGCTGTAGTAGTAGCTGCTTCTGTAGTAGTTGGTGCTGTTGTAGTAGTTGGTGCTGCTGTAGTAGTAGGTGCTTCTGTTGTAGTTGGTGCTGCTGTAGTAGTTGGTGCTGGTGTAGTAGTTGGTGCTGCTGCTGTAGTAGTTGGTGCTGCGGTACTAGTAGCTGATTCTGTTGTAGTTGGTGCTGCTGTAGTAGTTGGTGCTGGTGTAGTAGTTGGTGCTGCTGTAGTAGTTGTTGCTTCTGTAGTAGTTGGTGCTGCTGTAGTAGTAGGTGCTTCTGTAGTAGTTGGTGCTGGTGTAGTAGTTGGTGCTGGTGTAGTAGTTTGTTCAGCTGTAGTAGTTGGTGCTGGTGTAGAAGTTGGTGCTGGTGTAGTAGTAGGTGCTGGTGTAGTAGTTAGTGCTGTTGTAGTAGTTGGTGCTGCTGTAGCAGTAGGTGCTTCTGTAGTAGTTGGTGCTGCTGTAGTAGTAGGTGTGTCTGTTGTAGTTGGTGCTGGTGTAGTAGTTGGTGCTTCTGTTGTAGTTGGTGCTGGTGTAGTAGTTGGTGCTGATGTAGTAGTTGGTGCTTCTGTTGTAGTTGGTGCTGGTGTAGTAGTTGGTGCTGCTGTAGTAGTTGGTGCTGCTGTAGTAGTAGCTGCTTCTGTAGTAGTTAAGGGCTGGAGTGTAAAAGTAGTAGGTGCTTCTGTAGTGGATGGTGCTGGTGTAGTAGTTGAATTAAGATATTTGTGTAGTTAGTGCTGGTGTAGTAGTTAGTGCTGTAGTGTGTGGATTTATTCAGCTGTAGTTGTTGGTGCTGGTGTAGTAGTTGGTGCTGGTGTAGTAGTTGGTGCTGGTGTAGTAGTTGGTGCTGTTGTAGTAGTTGGTGCTGCTGTAGTAGTAGGTGCTACTGTACTAGTTGGTGCTGGTGTAGGAGTTGGTGCTGGTGTAGTAGTTGTTGCTTCTGTAGTAGTTGGTGCTGCTGTAGAAGTAGGTGCTTCTGTAGTAGTTGGTGCTGGTGTAGTAGTTGGTGCTGGTGTAGGAGTTGTTGCTTCTGTAGTAGTTGGAGCTGCTGTAGTAGTAGGTGCTTCTGTAGTAGTAGGTGCTGCTGTAGTAGTCGGTGCTTCTGTTGTAGTTGGTGCTGGTGTAGTAGTAGGTGCTTCTGTAGTAGTTGGTGCTGGTGTAGGAGTTGTTGCTTCTGTAGTAGTTGGTGCTGCTGTAGTAGTAGGTGCTTCTGTAGTAGTTGGTGCTGCTGTAGTAGTCTGTGCTTCTGTTGTAGTTGGTGCTGCTGTAGTAGTAGGTGCTTCTGTAGTAGTAGGTGCTTCTGTAGTAGTTGGTGCTGCTTTCCAGTGGTAGGTTAAACTTCTGTTGTAGTTGGTGCTGGTGTAGTGATGGGTATAGCAGTGGTTGGTGCTGCTGTGAAGTAGGTGCTTCTGTAGTTGGTGCTGGTGTTGGAGTTGTTGCTTCTGGATTAGTGCTGCTGTGGTAGTAGGTTAACTACTATGAAAACCAGTTGCTGCTGTAGTGGTGATTAGCTTCTGTTGTGGTTGGTGCTTCTGTAGTAGTAGGTGCTTCTGTAGTAGTTGTTGCTTCTGTAGTAGTTGGTGCTGCTGTAGTAGTAGGTGCTTCTGTAGTAGTTGGTGCTGCTGTAGTAGTAGGTGCTTCTGTAGTAGTTGGTGCTGTAGTAGTTGGTGCTTCTGTAGTAGTTGGTGCTGCTGTAGTAGTAGGTGCTTCTGTAGTAGTTGGTGCTGCTGTAGTAGTCGGTGCTTCTGTTGTAGTTGATGCTGTTGTAGTAGTAGTTGCTCCTGTAGTAGTTGGTGCTGCTGTAGTAGTCGCTGCTTCAGTTGTAGTTAGTGCTGCTGTAGTAGTAGGTGCTTCTGTAGTAGTAGGTGCTTCTGTAGTAGTAGGTGCTGCTGTAGTAGTTGGTGCTGGTGTAGTAGTAGGTGCTTCTGTTGTAGTTGGTGCTTCTGTTGTAGTTGGTGCTGCTGTAGTAGTAGGTGCTTCTGTAGTAGCTGGTGCTGCTGTAGTAGTAGGTGCTTCTGTAGTAGTTGGTGCTGGTGTAGGAGTTGTTGCTGCTGTAGTAGTAGGTGCTTCTGTAGTAGTTGGTGCTGCTGTAGTAGTCGGTGCTTCTGTAGTAGTCGGTGCTTCTGTTGTAGTTGGTGCTGCTGTTGTAGTAGGTGCTTCTGTAGTAGTAGGTGCTTCTGTAGTAGTAGGTGCTTCTGTAGTAGTTGGTGCTGCTGTAGTAGTAGGTGCTTCTGTTGTAGTTGGTGCTGGTGTAGTAGTAGGTGCTTCTGTTGTAGTTGGTGCTGCTGTAGTAGTTGGTGCTGGTGTAGTAGTTGGTGCTGCTGTAGTAGTAGGTGCTTCTGTAGTAGTAGGTGCTTCTGTAGTATTTGGTGCTGGTGTAGTAGTCGGTGCTTCTGTTGTAGTTGGTGCTGCTGTAGTAGTAGGTGCTTCTGTAGTAGTTGGTGCTGCTGTAGTAGTCGGTGCTTCTGTTGTAGTTGGTGCTGCTGTAGTAGTAGGTGCTTCTGTAGTAGTAGGTGCTTCTGTAGTAGTTGGTGCTGGTGTAGTAGTAGGTGCTTCTGTAGTAGTTGTTGCTTCTGTAGTAGTTGGTGCTGCTGTAGTAGTTGGTGCTGGTGTAGTAGTTGGTGCTGCTGTGCTAGTTAATGCTGGTGTGGTAGTTGTTGCTTCTGTAGTAGTTGGTGCTGGTGTAGTAGTTGGTGCTGGTGTAGTAGTTGTTGCGTCTGTAGTAGTTGGTGCTGGGGTAGTAGTTGTTGCTTCTGTAGTAGTTGGTGCTGGTGTAGTAGTAGGTGCTTCTGTAGTAGTTGGTGCTGGTGTAGTAGTTGGTGCTGCTGTAGTAGTTGGTGCTGGTGTAGTAGTTGTTGCGTCTGTAGTAGTTGTTGCTGGTGTAGTAGTTGGTGCTGCTGTGGTAGTTAATGCTGGTGTGGTAGTTAATGCTGGTGTGGTAGTTGCTGATGGTGTAGTAGTTAGTGCTGCTGTTGTAGGCAGTTCTGTTAAATATCAAGAGAAAAGAAGTTTCAGAATGAATTTAAAATATTAACAATATTTACATTTGAAAACATTTTAGATATATTTGTCAATGTCGCTTTACATTGACTCAGTGTTTTTTGGTAGATATCGGTTATTGCAAAATGACATACAGATTAAAGTATGTGTTAAATAAGCACAATATGTAGTATCAACTTTTCCACATTAAAGATGGCTAAACTGAGGCTTTATGTAATTTGAAATCCTTATTAAGCTTTCAATATTATTAAAACATTTTTTATTTCTGTTATCTTTAGGACCAATTTGGTAAATTAAGCAAACTCTAAATCCAAGTCCAAAACTCAGGGAAAAGCTCAGAATTACCAAATCCACTATTCACTAACTACATTTCGGGTTAAACTTCAGAGATAACGCATGAGTTTAATGCAAATAAATGTCTTGTTTATTTTTATACTTTGTTTTTATTTGGAGTCAAATGTACAAATTCTGATCCAAACAAAACGTAAACAAAATGTGCACTGTGTGTCTGTTCTGCCATAAGTCACCTCTTTCATATGAAGTGCACCAACACTTATTATGTATACTTTTTTTCAGTAGAAACAGGACTTTCGCTTCATATCAAATATTTATATACGAAACATAATTTAATATAAATAAA